AAAGGCAAAGATCAGTTTCTGAACAGAGATACAGTTTGATTCAACCTAAAGACCATTAGGAAACTGAAATTCTTGAGAAAAACTGCCATAACAGCTTACTATGTAAATAAGCTAATGTAAAAAATCTCCAATAAAAATCTTACTACTATGAAGTTACTATTAGACATAGTAACAGTGAAGAAAACTCCCAAAGGAATTAATTAAAGTTTAAGTGCATTTTATCCTCAGAAGAATCTCTGTTGAAATGGCCAATTCTCCTTAAAGAAAGCCAAAGTTAAACTACTCAAATTTTCCATGAGCTGTCATAATATTCCTTATTAACTGGTATTTAGTATTTGATACAATTTACGATAACAGGAGTAAAATTAAAGATAGGTGTTAAAATTCACAGTTTCAACTATTTTTAATTCAATAGAAAACTGAGATTATGTAGCACTACTTTGTTGTTGCAGTTACTAATGAATCAAAACAAAGGCCTTTAGAAGCATGAGACACAGTTTAAAATTCTTTCCAGTAAAATTGGAGATGTAGTCCTATTACTAAAATTTCCAGAAAAATTTAGCTTATGTACAGACATGTAGAAGGGCATCTCATACTGACTGCAGGATTCAAGATGGTTTGTATTGACACTTACTTTCATCAGAAATGTTCCCAAAATGGTGGTATCATACAATTTTACAACATCTTTCCTACTTTTAGAACACAAGAGAAATCTAAGTTCCTTACAGTCAGTTCCTCACAGATGCGGAAGGGCATCTCATACTGACTGCAAGATTCAAGATGGTGAGTACTGACACTTTCATCAGAAATGTTCCCCAAATGGTGGTGTCATACAATTTTACAACATCTTTCCTATTTTTTTCCTTACAGTCAGTTCCTCACAGATGCAAAAAAATCCTTGCACTAATCAAGGCAACTCAATAGCCCACCAAAAAACAGCAACTACTCACCACCTCAGATCTGTATCTCCTACAACATACAACAAAAATTTCTCATCACCTGAATGTGAGTGAATCCATTAATAAGAGATGAAAATGTATTTTTTCACTGGCCTCAAACAAGACAAACTTAAGGCCACTTCACTCCACTTTAGACTTCCAGACTTCTCTACAGTCTCAGGCGGATGACTACCTTAGCTCATGGTTTCACTGAGCCTAGTGACAGTCTGAGCGAGCAAAGCACTAGCTACAGTAGAGGAAGATTGAGTCAGGGACCACACATTCCAACAGGAAGTACATGAATACACAAAATGTGTCCAGACAGGATTAATTTTAGGAACGTAGGGCATTATGTCACATGAAGGCCACATATCCATCAAAAGAGGTCCCTGAGGACTGCAAAATGGCAAACATCATACACATCTTCTGTTTGAGCTCTGTCACCAAGAAGATAATGGAGCAAATCCTCCTGAAAACCATGTAACCATGTTGAGGTGTGTGAAGAACAAACAGAATGAGAAAAACTAGCAAGGATTTACCAGAGATTGACCAATCTCACTGCTTTCAGTGATGGAATGACTGGCTCCACGGACCAGGCAAATACAGTGGGTATAGCTTACTGTGACCTTAGCAAAGCTTCCCGGAAGGTTTCCCATTACAGTCAGATTGGTAAAATGTGCTTCAGACAGAATATAAAGTGGGTAATAAACTGTCAGGACTGTTTGGCTCAACAGCGTGGACTGCAGGTTAAGGCAGGGATTACTTCCCTCCATTTAGCACTTGTGAAACTGCATCTGGAGTGCTATTTTTGAGTACAAGACACTGATTTACTGGAGCAAATCCATGGGGGACAAGACCACAGGGCTAACAAGAAGGTCAACAAAGAATGTAGGAGCTGTCTTCAGCTACCATTCAGCAAATTTCAAATAGATACGAGGAAAAAGAAATCAAGTGAGGCACGTCAAACAATGGAACAGGTTTTCCAAAGAGGCTGTTGAATCTCCAGCTTTGGAGATCTTCAGAACTCAGTTGAACAAGACCCTGAAGAACATGAAGTTCAACCAGATGACTTCCAACTTAGAATTAACCCATGATGATTCTACAACTTGGCCCATTTTAGAAGCAGTATCAAACTTCACTTGCCTAGGACAGCTGGCAGAAGAATTAATTTGCTTCTTGTACAGAGTAAAATTAGTTATGGAGTCTATGATCCCCTACAATGCTTAGCCAGTCTGAAATTCATGCATAGGAAATATAGGCCCAAGCAGTAGTCTTGTTTATTTCCCACTATCTCACTGGATAAATTCTCGCTCTTGTGTACTTTTCATCCTTGTGCTCTCGCCACTCCTCTGTGGATTTATTAACAAGTCACGTAACAGACAAACTTTTCAGGGAAATATTAGAACATCATTGTATATTTTAGACTATGTGGCCTCACAGTAATGGTAAAAAAAGATCAATTTTATCAGAGCATCAGTGAAATTGCCTATGTGTTCTTTCTCAAAAGAAGAATGTTGTAATTCCCCTTTACTTTGCATAGACTGATTTTCATTAAGAGTGACTTATATCCTATATGCTGAGGAAAAAAAAATCAAACAGCTAGAAATTCCAAAGGACAAAATGTTTCCCATAACTAAACATTTATTAAACTGCAGTATATCCTGTTACTGCGAAACTTATTTGTTTCTTTGAACTTACAATAGGTATCACGTCTGATCTTTTGACGATATCTGAGCAACAATACTTCAGAAAAGCCTTATTCATTGGCTGGAAAAAAAGGTAGTCATCCTACACAAGAACAGGAAGTTTTATGGACATTGAAATAGCAATAAATGAGCAGATGTTTGAGATACACAAAAATCATTACAAGTGCCTGAAAAGGTCACCGTTATTTAAAAACTTGATATAAAAAGAACTGCTATGTTTTTACAAATTGCACTTCTATAATGCAAATACTTAACAGTAGGATATTTCCACTGTATGCCTTTTTGATAATTTGAAGTATTGTGTAAAGCGAAAATACTACACTCTAGAATTGTTCAAAATTCTCTCTGATCTGTGCTGAACAACATAAAAAGACCATTACAACAAACAAGAGAGAGCATGTGGTATGGTCACTCTGACTGAGCAGCCAAGTATTTAAAGAAGAGCAGCTGAGTTCTGCTGGCCTTATTTCTCTGTGGAGTTCTTTCAAAGTGCTGAAATAAACCTTACCAATTCACCTCTCCCTCAAATCTGGTCGATACGGTCATCAGGTTCTAATGCTTAGGCAGATGGTCTTTCATAGCTCAGTTACATACACTTGTTTTCTCAGGAAAACCAACTAATTAATGTCCTTCATTATGCACTAAAAACAAATGAACCAAATAGAAAGCAGCATGTTAATGTATATGTAAATCTACACTCTACTTAAAGTAGTAGAAGGAAGTGGCATAGAAAATGCTTATTAAATGCTTATTATTTTATTTTACACTAGCTCACTATGAAGTTGCTAAGCAAGAAGTATCAAAGCAGACAGACAATTTTAGAGCTCAGTAAGTCACCATGACTGAATGACATTCACTCAAGGGCCTTGCAAGAAATCAAATAGGAAAGCGCAGGACTGTAGCAATGGCCATTGTGCCAACATAACGGGTTTAGATGGGAACTAAAAGCTTTGTGTTGCATTGATTTGGTCATCATAACGCTTAATAATGAGGGCATGAATAGGGACAAGGATTAAGTGAAGTTTTGGGAATTTTCCACCACAGGAGGTTATGGAATCATACGATAGCATCTGGTTCAAAAAGGCATTAGATAATTTCAGGAACAAAAAGTCCTTGAACAGATATCAAAAGGATTAGGCAGGAAAGTATCTGTTATGCACCCCTAATACATGAATCCTGTAGGTTGGGAATGTGCAAGAGCAATGCACTAAAGAAGCGCCCTGGCTCTTGTGTTTTCCTTAAATAACATCTAATTTTTTCACTATCGTACACAGAATTCTAGTCCAGAATGGTGCGCTATGCTGACCTGGAAAGGTATTTCTTATGTTCTTGTTTAAATACATAATCCAGTAAGCATAACATTTACATATTGCATATTTTTCTTATTATTTTTCTCAATCATTGCAAAAGTTCTTAAATTAATTAATTCAAACTTTTTTCAGGTTATCTAGCTTTTACAGATGCAGAAGTATCTTGAAGTAATTAACAGATCTCAATACCATGTAATTTGCTTTTGTGATTTTAAGCTGAATTTCCTTTATAATTCCTCACAGTACTACTCTTGGCAACAATGTTGCAATCACTGTTGAATATTAAACAGTAGACATCAGAAGCCCCATTTTCATAATATTAAAAAATCCATGAGTTTCATACATTACAGTATATATTCACTCCATTTAACAAAGACAATCTTTAACTTTGATGTTTGAAGGCTGTAGAGAAAGACAAAGGATTTACTTCTGAACTGAAAATATCAACCTTCACCCAAAAATGAAAAAGCCACATTTAAAGGAAAACTTTAATTTTCCTTTTATTTTCCAAATAATTTTCAGTTTGCCTCCTCAAGAAAATCTGTTATACATGTACTGTTCCATAATGCCCTAAATTGGCAATGCTTCAGAACACAACATTTAGATGAGTCCTTTTCAAAGTAGAAACTTACGTTAAAAGGACTTAATTTTGCTCATAGTTATACATGTACCACTCAACATAAATGAATATTGCATGCAAACAGCCAATGGCAAAACCTGGTACAAAGTATTTCAGCAGAAGGAAAGCATATTGACCAAGAAAGCCTCCACATTTTATGAGCGAAGTAATGGAATAAAACCAGCTGTATACATAACCACATAAAAACATTCTGCATTAATGTCCTTAATTTCAGAAAGAATATTAGGAATAGTGGCATAACAGGAAAGCTACAGGGCATCCGGGAGTGAATGACCTACATAAAGTAATTAAAAACAGTACTAAGTAAGCCACTGGAAAGGAACAGACTCAACGTGGTTATTAATTAAAAGGCATAATTTTCTCAACATGCAAACTGGCAGCCACAAGTTAAGCTCAGAAGAATTACCTTCTTGGTTTTCATACTGTTCTGACAACAGATGGTAGCAGCAGCCTACACTGCAAACTGCTTTGATTTCAGGCTTGGCAGTAAAAATTCGTAACGTATTTGGAGCAAGATCCCCACATGTATGAAGACCCACCATTATAGAGTCCTAAGAGAAAGAAGAAAAAAAACAATAAAGCATCTCATTTTTTTTTCTCAATGAAAAGGGCAAAAATAAGATGACAACAAACTCCAAATCCCCAGACATGTTGCAAGAGGTTATTTACTCACAAGGTTTAAACGTACAACTCCACGAGGAGTCCTGCTGCTTCATTCTCAAAATTTGTAAACATAATGAAAGCACTACAGGGCTAAGACAAGATGGCATATTTCCTCTATTGAGAACCAGAATGCTCATCTCTCTGATTACAGTTACTCATCCCTGTACCTTACTTCTTTGGCTAGGAGGAATCACAAGTTGAAAATAAACAGCAGCCAGCTTACCTGAAGAGAATGTCCAAGTGGTGACAGGGTATTGGCCATTTTCTCTTCATTTTCCTGGCTTTCCTTTGAATACTACTATTACTGCTAAATCCTCCCTGTTTTACTTCAGAGGCACTACTGTAACATACATGGCTCCACTTACCCCATGGCATTTCTTCATGACCGTAACCGTGATTTGAAGAGCAGGTTCCTCACCATCTGCTTTGCTATTTCCAGAATTGCACTACTACAGCTGTTTTACAGTATGTCTGCTACTGTTCAGCTACACATAAGCATAATCTTCCAAAAAAACATGGAAGAACTTCAGCTCCAGACACTCTATTCTGTACATTCTATTACCTGCTTTCCTTTTTTTTTTCCTTCATTTTCTTTTCTTCCTGTTTCCCATCCCAATTATCCCTTTTCTCAGCATTCATATTTTTAACTTTCCCCCAGACTTATTAATTGGAATCAAAACTGTAAAAGCGATGTTTGCTGCTTTGATCCATTAGCAAGATTATCAACAAGAATTTAACCCTGTTATATTCGAACATTGTAACTTTCGTTAACTATTTTGATTTTATGCGCACATCTATTTTTGCTCCTCTGCATTACAGCATTTTTTGCCACACGTCTATACTCTATAGCATACAAACATGTTGGGACTACAAACCTTTTTTTTCCTCTGTTTTCTGCTTCTTCCCTATCCCCCCACTTCTTGCCTTCCACTTCATTTGCACTGCTTCTCTGCACTTGCCCTTTCAGTGATTCAGGATCCTAAAATTTTAGGTGGCAAAGGTTCACATTTCATTTTGGCTTAGTTTTTTACCTTTGTGCAAGACCTTCTCCCTTGTAAAAACATAAAATACTGAGTGGAAGAACAGTGAAGTTTAGAAGCTAATCAAAGAGGTCCACTTCTAAGAAAGCATTTAAATCCCTGGACTAGAAAAGCTGGAAAGATTCTCTCTGCAGAAGGCCAGGGGAAGATGGCCTCAAATTATATGACAAACACGACAACACTCACAATTTCTGAAGTGTCAAGGCAATCTCTGTCAGTTACATTTTTGGCCCATCACAGATTTCAACAGGGATACCTAGATATTACTGAGAACACTTTCCTATCCTTTGACTTAAGTCTAGTAAAATTTCACATCTCAACATCAGAGGTGGGCTATACACAACTTCTATCCTCCTGTATTTCTATCCCTGTATTTTGTCAGCAATTCAAACAAATTTCAAAAATTATCCTATAAATTGGTAAACAGTATTTTTTTTCATTCTGTTGTGTTAGGAAAAATCCAAGAAAACAAAAAAGTATTGTTAAAATAAAAATTTGAAATCCTTACTTTAAAATATGTAAATATTTGCACATTTTAAAGTGTTTTAACTACACACATTCATCACGCATTGCATGTACACTGATCAGTTACTACTGTGTTCTTATAACAATTAAGTTTTTACCTATAGTAACTTTTCCTTTTAAAGAAAAGCAGTAATATAGGATCTTTTCTGCCTTTTACATCAATAGAAACTACATATCAAGAGGATACAAAATCCAGCTGTGCAAATTTAAGAGCATCTATTTGACATTGGTTTGCTGAGCGTAAAGCACAGGAGTAACTCCAGGACCACGAACAGCAGGTCCCTGCAGTGGGCACAGGACCCCGAGCTCCCTGCTTGCATTCTGGCCACGTGGAAACACTCTGTTGCTGCCCACCAGCTACATAACCAAAGTGCAGACTGCATTCAAGTGAACAAATATTACCACTCGGGATATATCTTTTCTAGGCAGACATGAGCTTGCTCCACACACTCTCAGATAGTGAGTGGGATTTATTAGCTCACATGTAGCACCACTAACACAAACACATGATATTGAAATAGAGACATTGAACGTACTTAATTCAGCTACTACTGGACACAGACAAGTCTTCATCTTTCCATGAAAGATTACACACTATCTACTTAATCATTGTAGGACAGCTCAGGCATAGGAACTAACACAGCTATACTGCTAGTAGACTCATGGCTCCATCTTTGGGAAGCTGAGCTGGGGCCTCTTTGTATCCACATAAACTTAGTGGGGTAGTAAATTAAGAACTGTATTTAAAGTAACTCCAAAAAACATTATGTATAAAACATTATATTTAAAAAAGTCTCTTTAGACATTCTTCATGTTGAATATTTGCACTAATTTCTTTTATACCTTCAAAGCTGAAGACGACATTAAAAAATAAAACTTAGAAAATGAGAAATTTCAGAGAATACATTCTTCTCACTGTTAAATATAACCATATAACCATCATAATAATTAGACATGTTACCTATAAATTCATCTGGAAAGCAGCTGAATATCCTGTTACGTATGCTGTTAATTTTGATAGCTGATTATCTACACCCCAGATTCAAAAGACCATTTTACTTGCATACTCCAAATAATCCTAACACATACACTGAAATAGCAAAACACTCTATGTATGTATTAGCCATAGCTAAGCAAAAGCTGAAAAACATTACTGGGCCAGAAGCCCTCGTTCATTTACACCTCTGATAATATGCTACATGCAATCATTTTCCTATATACCAAATGTTAATACGAAGGTAGTGGAGAATCCACTTCAAGTGGATTTGTAAGTACTAGTAAAACAACCTCCAGATCTTTAATGATGTCACTGAGTTCCGTCTCTGCCGTGATGTAAGAGGTCAATGGAAAATAAAGGTTTGATTCACTTGACTTGCTTGCTTTAGCCTGGAGAGAAGCCATTTTTCTCCGTGCCTTTTCCTCTTCACAGAGCTCCCCACAGTCACACCGAGGTGAAGAAAAAATATCAACAGCATTAGCAGGCAGAACATTTAGAATATCAAGAACATTTTCTGAAAGTTTGTTCTCATCAGACTGTGTCTGAGCCACCAAATTAATTTCAGTTTGTTTGCTGCTTTCAGATGTAGCTATCTCTGTGAAAATACCAGAATCTTGGGTAGTCACTTGGTCTTGACTTTGAAGACTGCTGTTATTATTTAAGGACTTTTCATCGGTATTTGATTCACATTTAATTTCAGTTTGTACTGGCCTATCATTCACCTCTTCCGACTTCTGGCTTTGGAGATTTGCTCTTGCCCGCCTCTCATACGCTCTCCAGTGTTTCTTCAATTTCCTGTTCCTTTCATGAGCACCATGAGTGTTGGTGTTTGAGGAGTCAATTCCATAAACTTTTAAGTTATAGTGCATGGACAAAAAGGAACTGAGGTAGCCCTTTCCAGAACCTATATCAATCACCTAGAGGTAATGAAAAAGAGAGAAAGAACTCTATTAGCGAGCAACAGATAGGATACATTTCAATCAAATGCAAAACAATTTCCTTAAAAAAAGTAAGCATAGATTTCATATCTACCCATAATTATCATGGAATTCATAATTATCAATTATCCCACTTATACGTTGTTCACGTGCTTTGCTGAACTTTGTGCTGAATTTAAAACACAAAAGTAAATCAGAACCGATCTGTTCCAGAAAATAGACACTGCAATGCTTACACAATACACACATCCTGACTCTTCTGGAGAAGTCTTTTACTTTATTTTTTGACACAGAATTTCCTTCTGCTAAGGAAAATAACCACAAGCTACCACCACCACCCATGATTTCCAAATTAGCCAGGTTATACAGTTAGGAAAGAAAGTATTCCTATTAATTAGCTTTACACATCTAACTGCCACATTTATTATGCTGAGTTAGAAGTCTCCTACCACTAGATATGCAGAAATAAAATTCTTCAGTTTCTTACTTAACCACTACAGACTCATGCCTAAAGGCCAACAGTATGAATATACTGTATGAATACCAGAACCTGTTTCCTTTCCTGCGAAAGTGACCCATACAGGGATTTATGTAACCTAAGGATGTTTTTGTAATAAAACAAAGGGGCTCAGAAGCCATGTGATTCTCATAGCCTGTTCTAGGAGGAGAGAGTTGAAAGGATATTTAGGAAGTTTAGTTTCTCATAACTGAAAGTATATCTAGAGTAGCACCAGAAACAATCTCAGAGCTTAAGTACATAAACATAATTTTACTATGTGTGTTTTAATTTATATTAATATATTATTTATTTGTATTAATATACATTATATGTATTTATATATGTATGTATGTATATATATATATGTAATCTATATATTTTATGAAAATAGATAATAGAGTACCAGTTCTCTACAGAAATGAGCTGATAAGGGGCTCTTCTGCTCAGGTGTCTATCAGAAATTATACTCACTAGACATAATGATTTATTTGTTAACATATATTCTTGCAAGTGATAGATGCAAGTTTATTTTTAATGTCTTATTCTTGGTCTGTAAGACATTCGTATGAAAATGTATAATGAAATACACTCAATATAGCCTTACTCTCGCTGAAGCGAAAATGATTTAATCTTCATTCTGAGAGCTTTTTAGATTCGTATAGTCACGGAATCAGGACAAAAAATTATAAATTCAGTCTGAAAGACCACACAAAAGAGCAGAGAGAAAATACTATTTGATACAGATTATTTAACCACGCTACACGTGGTGCTACACGTGGTTCTTCATGTGATACTGCAGCACACCTGCCATCACACACTACAATCCTCAAATTTCTTGAATGAAATCAGTGCAGGTGTAGATTGACTGATATAAAATTAAGCACACTATTCTCTAAGCATACTATTTTTTGAAATGTAACTTTTATTGCCAATATTCTCCCAGAATATTTAAAAGAGAAGGAAAGAAGGAATAGCTCAAGGAATACTTTAGCTCACTGCTTTATAAAATAGATGTTACTACTATGCAGAATATGCACACCTCCATTTCTACAAGGTTTCAAATTATTTTTGTGAAAAGAACTATGCAGATATAGATTCAGATAACTCATACGTGTGACCTCTGTAAAGACAAACTACTAGTTTGGTAGGATTTTTTTATTTGTTTCTAAGCAGAACAACAATAGTAACATATTGTTACATTAATACTGGGACAATAGTTCTAAAATGAAGAGAAAATATGGCTAGAAATAAGTAGCCAATGATTTTGTGCTGAATAGATAGACATGATTAAATTAATCTCTGCTTTACCTTTCCTTGATTGCAGAAGAAAGGTAAGCAGCAATCTGTAGCGCTATGTGTCAAGCATGAACTTTTAATATGAAATTTCCATGATATAATATACTCTAAAGGTCCTACGTACCATGGGTTGGGCACTATGTTTAAACAGTTTCTGGCACAAACAAGAACTCCATTTCCAGAAGAATTTCATCGTTTTCCATCACTAAATCACAAATTTAATAGATGCTGAATTCAGAATTAAGCTTCTATTGCCCACACTGCAACTCTTGTTGCAAATGTTGCAATTTCCAAGGACACTTTAATCAAATAATGTAAAGAAAACCAATGTGTATTTAAGCAAGGAACTACCACTGGCTTCTTTTCAGAATCGAGAGTAATATAAAAAGTTCCTTTTGTATGACAGGAACAGATAAAAAGGGGCAGTAGGTAATTTAAAAATCTTTAAAGTTAGCATGCTTTAATGCTTTAATTTAAATCATTAATCTAGAAGTGATTACAGTACTCATAATTTTTTTTGCTTTTATTCTCATTTTACTATGTATTATATTATAAAACACCACAAAAGCATAATATCCTTTACCACCCATTATACATCATGGGTACAGAGGTGAAACTGAGGGCATTTTTCAATCCTTCAGTGATCTCTAATATCTGAAAGAAACACCCTGAGGACATATGCTGTTGTAAAACATGTGTTGTGTTTTCATAGCTCAAGACTTTTTAATTAAATGCAACATATATTTTTTTTGCAAGAAGGACACAAAAAAAAATCAATAAGGAAAAAACTCTCCTAAAACTTAACAATTCCTGTATTTTCTTAAGTTGAAAGGTAACCAAAACAAAAGAAGTTGCTTTTAATAACTGAGAAGGAGAGTTTTCTTTTTTCTTCTTTTTTTATGTAACTGGAAAGCTCTTTTCATATATTAGGGATTTGTAACTTTGAACAAATAAATTTTGTTGCAGTGTATGACTAAAATGGAAAAAAAAGTTAATATAAAGCAGTCGACCTTTCATATTCAGTGATATACTGCAATAATGTTTTTCATTAAATACATTAAATATTAGATTCTTTTTTTTCAAAAAAGCCTACAGAAAATAATCCTTTGTCTAATGACACCCCAAACCAACTGATAAAAGTGCATATTCACTGGCTGAAATTGCAGCATATTGACAGATACTTAATAATGATTGCTTTGAGATTTTATTAGTAACCAGCTATATCAGGCCTTACGTCAGGTCATTAAAGTGGCTCTATTTCCTTACTCTCTGAATATAGGTTTTTCTTTCCTTTCTTTTCATTCCTGAATCTCACAGGAACTATTTAAAATCTAAATGAAAACGCTATATGAAACACCACCAATTCACCTTCCCGTAAATCCAGAGAGCACTGAGTATTGCATTATAAGCAAACTACACTTTTCTGCATCTTTCTCACTGCATGAAAGACTTCAACACTTGAACAGCTGACACTTGCCTAGAGCAAAAGGCAAGCAAGTCAAAAACACGCTAACGAAGAGGAGAAAACACTTTCAAGAATCTGCTAGTATTATATGCTTATTCTTTACAGACAGCACCCACCTACTTGGAAGCTCCTGAAAGCGCTACTGAAAGAGCTACACATTCTCTGTAAATTATCATGGATAGCCACCAACTGATGGCATCTCATCCAGTGATATCTGGCAGTTGCAGCTGTCTTTTACTTATCAATCTCAGCTGTAATTATGGAGAAGGCTGCCTTTGCCCTCTATAGCTGTTTCTCACAAAACAGAGATTCAGAGTTTTAGACTTGATTTCCAAAGATGCCACAGGTCTGGCCTAAATCTGACAGCTTGCTATCAGAACCTATCATTCATACTGTCTAAGTGAAATTCTCAGTTTCAGCCAAATAATTTCTAAATCAGAGTCCAACTTCATCAACTGACTCCAGTTTTGGAACTCTCCTTTCTTTCTACTGTGGCCTCAGCAGCAGCAGCAACTCAGGACCCTGCAGTTGTATCTGCAGCAGCAAACCAACGGTGCACGGACATGTACTCTGGTATACACATATTCTACGTGCCTGTCCATAGCCCTTATTTCCAGCAATCTCCCTAGTGCTGTTTGGAAACAGTCCAACTAGTATTCTCCCATGGAAAAGGCTCAGGCACAACCTGGGACACCAAATATGCTAGAGATCCTTTTTGGTGAAGGAAACATTCTTTTCTGAGGGAGAGAGTTTAGCCAAATGCATGAGAAGAGGGATATGCCATTTTCCTCAATGTTCTCACCCAAATTACTTTTGCTGACAGATTTAGCTTTCCACTGCCTCTCCACACTTACATTCATCTCATATATTTTTAAAACACACTACGAAAAAGCAGTATTTTTGAGCTGCACTGAGAAAAGAAAAGCTAAGAGAAAATACACAGCAGCAAATCTGGGCAGGTATCCTCAGTCTTGTTTTCAAAGAACTATAGCATTTATTTGACCAGTACTGAATAACTGGCTTGGGTCCTACCACATAAACCTGACTACCCAAAATAAACATTACATACTTTTTCTTTCAATCTGATCTATCTTGAAACTATAAAGATCATATCTAAAGCCCTAATTAAATATCTCAGTACATCTTATAGAAAGGCTGCCAGCATTAAACAACAAGGAAAGTTTCAAATACCTTGCACCAGAATAAGAAAGCATGCTTTTAAAATTTTCCAGATTTTTTGGGGTTTTTTTGGTTGCTTTCTTCATATAGTGCTACTGTCTACCTAAAGGAAGTGAAAGAGCAAAGTTTTGCTCTCTTAACAACATCTTAATAACGATATGAAACTTCTCAAAGAGAAACTACCTGTGCATTACAAAGAGCAGTGCTATTTTTAACTATTCAACATTCAAAGGATGATTACATTCATTAAAATTTTTCATGAGTCATAAAATAATAATGACAGACTGAAAGGCAGTTTCTTGAGAATGATACCTTGGCAAGCAAACTGGATCCTTTCTTTAGCCCTACAGGCTCTTCTTTATCAATAATTATTTCTATGAAAATAAAAATAGCAGTAACGGAGTATCAAAATACAGCATATGAACATGATAAAAAGAATCTGAAAGGTACACAGTAACATACAGGAAGAGATGCTTTCTTACCTGCTTTATACCATAATAACTTGCTATGCTGTGTATCAACTCCGACATCACCTGCACTTCATGTGATTTCTTATTATTCATGAATTCATCAGTTTTAATGTCTATATCAGATTAAGAAAATAAACATAATTGAGACAATTCAGAATAACTGAACCCTTATAATAAATTGGAATAAACACAGGCCTAAAATATTTTCAGTATTTTTATATTTTAGGGGTAGTAATTTTGAATTAAAATATCACTAAGTAATTATAAAACTAAACTACTGAATTAAAGATGAACTAGTAGAATTTAACATTCTTTTAGAAAACACTAACAGTTTTGCTGCAGAAGACACTAAGGAGGTAATCTCTACGGCCAATCCAGTGTGGAAAATACCAGACACCTGCTTTGCTCATCTCCACATCCCCCAGCCAAAGCTGCAACTCGGAAGTTGTGAAAAAACCATGTATCAGGCCATCATCATTAGGCCACTGGAATTCATTATAGTTAAGTTGATGGGAATTTTTGTGAGGTAAATCTGAATGAAGGTAGCGAAAACTGGAGTGCTATTGATAGGATTAATTTTAGAAAATAAGACTTGTCTACGTGACTAGGCTGATTAATATAGCTGCCCATTAGGTGGGTTTTTTTCTATGCAGAATGTGTTCATCTGTCCAGAAACTTATCATTAGGGAAGAACTACATTCATTCCTTAATCAGATCATGCTGGGAACAGAGCCAAGAGTGTTACTTATTTAGAAGACAGTGGGGAATTGAGCTCATGCAAAATCTAGTGTTTTTCCCAACTTTTCACAAAACCCAGAGAAACTCTCTATTTCTTAAATATCTGGGTTTTTTTATAATAAGATGTTGTGGCAAGACTTAAAACCTAAAATAGATTCTATGAACTTACAAAAGAAAATAACAGATGAAAATATTTTTAAACAAAATCATCTGTCATTTAACTGTTAGCACTGTAATGCTCATTTACTTCAAAATGGTTAGGATCTTCACAAAGAAACTAACACTCCAAGCGTGGCCATCATCTTGATCATAAACTCACTGCAAGGCTAGAGCAGTTAACACAACATTCAAGTCACCTCTGCTCTTATATTCAAAAATAAACCTAATAACAAAAGAAATTCTCCTTGCTGGGTTCTTCCTTGTTGGCCAGGTTTTTCTGGATCCTGTGTCCTCAGTGTAAGGAACCTGATTGTTCAACAAAAACTGCAGTAAACTTTGTTAGGAAGCAATGGAGAAACTCCTTTAGATTCAAAACTTCCATTCAGGATATCTATGTCAACAACTCTAAAAAGGTTTGTTCTCACTTTTTTTAAGCAACTATTCATAGGTAGGATAATCATACATCTATATTAATGTGCTAAATAAGTTTGAAAACTATGCAAGCATGCAATCTATGGGTATATAGAAATCATGCTTCCAAGCATGATTATCTTAGAATGTGGAAATACACTGCAAACATTTCAAATATAAATGGAATTATCCTGAAGGATATTTTTCATGATACAAGCATGGTCATCTTTCTCATTTTCTCAGACTTACCCTTCTCTTGCCTAGCAAGCAGCAGCAAGTGAGCAAATGAAAATATTTTCTGAAAACAGAATTAAGTAAAAATATCTAAAATATCTCAGAGTTAAAAGATCCCAAGGCGTATCTGGCAACTTTTTATAACAAACCCCAATTTCGGAATTTTGCTTCTCTCCAGTCAATCACCAGGCACACCACTGCGTTAATTTAACTGTTATTTACAGTGAATTCAATTTGAAGGTTTCAAATTCTACCACTGTATATACAGAACACCCGGAATACACCCTACTAGGAAGTACAACTTAAAAATAGTACATCGCAATTCCAGGGCGCAGTTACCAAGAATCATTCCTGCAAGATGCCAACCAAAATGTTCAGCATCTGTCTTATTCTAGATTTTCCATTTTGCATGATAAGAGACAGAAGAGTCTCCCTACTTTTCTCTAAGAAAGCTCATTTAAGTATGAAATCCAGTATGGGTATAACAAGGTAGAACTACAGAACTGCAAAACAGAGGGTAAGAGGGCATTCAGAAAATGAAAATAGCTAAAAGTAAAAGAAAAGCTGCACACAGCTGGACATAGGGAAACATAAGGAAAAAAGGCTTCAGATGAAAGAAGAGCAGAAGGAAAGAAGCCAGAAAGGAAAGTTACAGTAAGACCAGTCAGTCACAGACTGTTTTACCTGTGGCATTTTGGTAATTATGAAGAAATGGAAAACTGGGAAACCAAATATGGAAAACTGCAAAACTGGAAAAAGATCACTGCAGAAAAGGGCAGAGATGGCCAAAATCTGTAACGGTGCTGCCACTTACAACAGAAAAGGTCAGCAGAGTTTTAATATATCATAGAGACAGAGCACATCAGAAAGCAGAGAGCTGCTCAGCATCCGCCCTTGGAAAATTAATGAGAAGTTTGAAAGACAGCAACAAATCCATAACGGCTGGGGTCTCACTGAAGAGCACACTTGCTGTGAAAATGACAGCAGCTAAAGTAAGTAGAAATGCCCATTTATCAGCTGATAAAGAAATACAGTCTGGGGCAAGACTTCCCTTGAAAAGATGCCAACTTGAGAGTGTTTTCATACATTTTCTTTAAGTATAGAGAATAAAATGACTCTAGTTTTAAGACATATACTTGACATTGGTCCCCAAAAATAGAGATTGAAATCTCAAAAAGAAATTGATTTCATTGAAAGTCTTACAGGGACACATTCAGTTAAAAACCTAAGCACATACAAAAGACGAAGCAAAAAAACCCTCCTGGTGGTATGGCTTCAGGATGGTAGGCTGAGGCTTTTAAAAAAGCAATACTTGCAATCATGACTCTTGCTGCTGAGAGAGAAAGGAAAAAACAAAGGAAATAAAACTAGGTAGATGAACTGCAACACAAATGATGTGCCTGCTTGCTCAAAGAGAACTGCACTACAGTGGACACACAGAAAACTAAATATCAGTGTAAATATACCATTTCTTTCTTTACATTCTCCTCTCAGTGCTTCAAGTAACTCTTCCAATGGTGTGCACAGGCCAAGGTTTGGCAAAGAATAATACCTAGCAGCCAGGGCAAAGGCCTGCACATCGATCAGCCGCTGAGACTTCTCACAGAAGACACTGGAAAGCATGCTCTCATCTGTGTGGGAAGAGAAAGGAAAAGATTTGTTTCTGTTCGCAGAAACACAACTAAGTAATAAGAAGTGCTACGAGACAGGCCTATCATTTTATTTTGTGTGTATAAATTGTTTTCTCCCTTCAGAATTTAGCCCAGACTTCACTCTTTGCTAAGTTGGTGTAAATGTAGAAAAAGCTATTATTTTTGCAGAGCCATTTTAGTAAAACTTGTAAGGGAATTTTATTAAGATTATCACTTACCCTCTGCCTACAAGTTTCCTCATGATGCATTTCATAATCATCCCATCTGACAATACATATTACTATAATGGTTTTTTAAGGAAATATAGCTGTTCAACACATAAAATGTCTTGACTTACAACCATTACATTCATATACTTTCCTAGTTGCTTTTTAGCTGGTGGATGTATTGGGAGAATTAAATTAATTTTCATCTCCAGCCAGGTGTGATCCAAAGTTAAAGCCTGATGCATATTTTGTTTGATTTCGAATGAAGTATTTCAGTTAGATATTACTTAATGCTTTAGAACACACTACATTTTTAAAAATATGGACCTACTTTAAAGTGAAAAATACCATGGTATAAGCCATTTAATATTTCTGGGAATACAGTGATTTCAAATGATATATTTTATACTTTGAATACATTATATATTTTCTAATTCATAAAAATTTAGCTGAAATTATTTGATTTTATGTAGTTTCAGTAAGAGTTTTTAGATCGCTAAAAACTTACAATTCTTTAAAAATAAACAAACACTAGCCCTCTAGACCTAAAAACAGTTACACAGATTTACAAAACACCTCCTGGTTTGTCTCTTGTCTCGTAAGTAAATTTTGCATAAGTACCCACCTAGCATGGCACCCTTTTCCAAATACCCACCCGTATGAGAAAGCGCTGTTTCTACTGACCTCACCTCTAATTCTCTTAATTTTCTACCGTGACTACAAATATCATAGAAAACAATCCCAACAATGTCAATAAGTTTATTTTCACAGTATTATGCTACTGAGGCACGAACATGGCAAAGAAAATTTAGGACTAAGTAAGACCAAATATTGCCTAAGCTTTAAACAAAATTTCTACTGTTACTGTATCTGCAAGGCATCTATTCTACTATTTTCTATTACAAAATCAAAAAACAGAGCCATCTTTTTCTACAAATGACTTTATTTGTCTTTCTGAACACTCAATGATTTTTCATTAATGAATCTTCATGACAGATGAACGTAGCATACTAGAAAAAAGGCATACAGGAGAAAGACGGAACCAGCTAAAGTCTGCTAAGCCCTTGGGGAAAATGGGTAATTTGGTCTTTCAGCAAGTCTCTGTAAGATAAGTTTATAATTTATATTTCACAAAAGTGTTAGATTGTGATAGGACATGATATTATTCTCTTACATTGTTTACTTCATTAATAGGTATTGTCAGAAAGGAAGTTTATTTGTCTTCAATCATTTCCAAATGTGCACATGTAATTTGTTGTCTTTCTGTAAGAGAACAGTATCATGTCCTATCACAATCTAACACTTTTGTGAAATATAAATATTAAAAGGAATTAGTTTTTAATTCCAAGTTTGCACACCCACAAAAGGAGGCAATTATCTACACAGTGCAGAAGTGGCAGCCACCCTCGAATAAAGCAGCAATCTAAATTCTCAGGCACCCTGAACGGCATAAGAAGATACATGAAAGTATCTTTGATCTTACCATTTCAGCGTAACTTTAAAACACTAGTGGTAGTATCGGATTTTAGTTCAGCACGTCCGTTTGGCATCACACTTTATACACACTACATAAAAAGATCATTTTGGAGATAAGACACAATGACATACAACATACAGAAACTACAAAGGCGTCAACACCCAATACATTCACACACGTACCTACTACTCTAGTAGGTTTCTAGGGACAGAATTTGTTTTTTTATGGACTAACTTTTGCATTAGGAAATTAGATTTGAATCACCTTTATTTTCCCTAAGAAAATAAAGAGGTCCTTAAAGAGAACTTTACTTTCAGTGTAAAAATGCTTACACCAAAAAACAAGGAATGTTTATTCATACTGCTTACTAGAAAAATAAACCCTCGACTTCTTTCGATGGCTATATGCATGGTTATGTTGATAGAAAAATCCATTTACTGAAGAAAAACTGTTGTTTATGTATTGTTTTTAAAGCAAGTTTTATTCATTTAACTCATTTAAGATTCTCCATACATAGGCAGCATTTCCAGGAATTTACACATATCCACAACATGAATGTAGCCTGATAACCCCCAAAACGCATAGAAATCTGTAGGTTTGATCCAGGGGAAACCAGTCACTGATCTGTCAAGCAAGAGAACAAAGTTGAAGGGATTCAACAAGCAAGGCTACAGGCCAGCAATTATTGACCAAGTGATAGAGATGTTAAATCTCAAGGTGCAGAGGGATATTTTGCCAGCTGTTCAGCACTGCTGCCAGGTGAAGAAGGAATCTAATCCTCCTGATGAGAAGCTGATGTTCCCATTTCATAAATATGATGGTCTCTTTTATGTAGTACAGCACTTAGTACAACACACTTGTGAAAATTACAGCCCATTCCAAAATACATTTATGCTTTTTTATCTCCAAATTTTATTACCTCTGTGTCCAGCAAGGCTATTTCTTGGCATTTTAAAAAGATGGAGCACATGACACTGAAATATATAATCTTTTTAGTTAATGACACACATTTTTAAATATTCTGGCCAATCTTGTATGACAAAACAAAATAAAAAATGAAACAAAAACCTTTCCTTCCAAAATCCATTTATCTTTTTCATGGCATGTAATTACACAAAATAAAGGAGTTAGGAAACATATTGGAATGTCATCTTATTACAAGACATTTCTTTAACAAAACTTATGCGAGTAAGAAACAGATCTGAATAAACTTCGATTTTTGTGCATTTCCTTTTCATACGTGTATATTACATACTTACTAAATATCCAGGCTTACACTAAAAAATATTTTGCTTTCTAAGCAATATTTTTTTTGAAATATCTGGCTAGACGTCAAGTAAATTTCACTAATATTTATGTTCTGAATGTACTGAACTGCAGCACCAGTGGAAAAAAAATATGCCTTCTGCCATTACAGAAGGCTACTTGGAGGTGTAAGATGTTCTTATTTTGCCTAACAGGGTAACAATCCGCGTAAGCTGCTTTGAGTATTTTGTTCAGGTCCTGCACCTAAGATACACCTAGACTGACCAGTAACTAAGAACTCTTACTACCTTGCTGCATCAATGTCCTGGATATCTAAATGGTCATATCCTTAATATCTATGAAATTAGTAATTGCAAGAATGCCGTTGACCCAGGCACCTCATTTCCACACCAGCAGCCAGCATCAAACCATGGCAGAAGCACTATCTCATACCCTTGTTGATCCCCTAGTAGGCAATACGTATTAAGCACTTCAGCAGAGACTTTCACTCAACAAGGACTCTCAGCTGGAGAAAGAAACATCATCTGAGAACGAGCCCTTCCCACTCTAGGACCCAAAGGATCAAAATCCACAAGTGTTCTCACCTCAAAATCTCCTGCCTCCCCCCAACTCCTTTAAGTTGTCCCAGGCTAGTTCCTTAAGTGATGAATTCACACCACCAGTTAAGAAAAATCAGCATCAGTGGAAGGAGTTACTTCATGAAACAAAAGCAACCTCTCAGTCTCAAGTCTCACATTTGGATGTGATCTTGAGAACTAATACCCACCAATACTCTTCAGGATACTAAAAAATGTTGACTCAGTAATTTGTTTATTTATATGTAGATATAAATACACTGAATACATTCACTGAGTTTGCAATTTTTAGCATCCCATCCTTCCTTTCACCTTATTTCCTGCCGATCCTTCTACACATGCACAGCTTATCTTGGTAATTAATAATTTTATTGACTGTTTACTGAAATTTAGAGTTTTCTGCTTCTTTATTAGAACTCACAGAAAGCTTATAAATCCAATGCTTGCCTGCTTTTAACTTTTTCAACAGCTGGCTTAGTAAAATAGATTAACTCTCCTTACTAAAATTGTGTAATGTTACACATTATGTAACTTTCCTGAATTCACTTTTCTGACTGAAGAGCATTAACAGAAATATCAGGATCTCATTCACAATGACTGACATATCACATCTATAAAACTGCTACCAAATTTAAATTGTTCGAAGGTGACGACTAAAAGGAAAAACTCATCTACTCAATTGCATTAAGGTATCTGAAACATTACTTCAAACACCTCAATGGCAGCTGCTTGGGTAAGTATTGTCTTTGGTTATTGAAAATAGTGTTTGTTTTGGTTGTTCGCAAGATAAAAATCTAACATATTTTAACCCATCAATTCATTCACTAGCAAATATATTATGGCAAATGGCAGCTTTTTGAAGCATAAAAAAAAAGTTTTACTTATTTACGAATGGACATGAAATTTTTTTCTAGGCTCTGGCTGAAAACAAGGAATTCTCCTTGTATGACTGTAAGGAAATACTATTTCATGACTATCTGAGAATATTCCTTGAAAATAATTCATAGAACATGCTGTCATTTCCCTGCATATGATTCTATACAACAGAACTGAAGGTTGCTGCTTATTTCTAGCAAAAAATATAGCTCAGCATATTTGTTTGTTGAAATAAGTGAAGCAATGCAATATATTGTACAGAATAAAAGTATGGTATCTACTTTTTAATTTGCAGGGCTATGTAAATATGAACAACTTCACATTTCAAAAACAATCTGTCAGACCGACCCAACATTTCTTTTTAATTTGTGATCCATATTAGAAGAGATTCTAGGAAGAGTGTCAGGACACTTTTTTTTCCCATTGCATTCACCTTTTCATGACAGTCTAGGGACTCAATATATTTGTAAATGTATAAATGCACAATTTCTCAAATACTTAGGCAGCTAAGGTTTTACCTTGTGAAACCAAACTGTCATTTCACACATATATTGAGAAAGGGGTTTGGGAT